CCGACCAGATAGAGGAAAATTGACAAAGATGTCATGGGATCGATTTTCGAGAAACGTCGATTGTCAAAAACAGTATCGCGATATCTTCAATGGTACCATTAATACAGGGCGATTTTCGATTTTCCCCTATTATGAAAAATGGCTATAAGTTTTTTATTTATCAATTTTTTTTATTTCTGTAAAAACATTATGGAGACACTTTTTTGAGCACAATCCAGTGGCGGACTCGGTTTTTTTCTATATCGCCCCGATTCCGAGATATTGACCAAATTCCGATATTTTCAAATGGAACATCCTTTATATTAATAGCTCATTGGATAGCTCTGTTTTTGCTGATTTCAATGATATAAAGTTCGATAGGTTTATATCTAACAGTTTTCCAGAAAAAAAATTATATCTGTTTCAGTCATAAGAAACAATGTGTTAGAAAGAGACCTTTCTCACTTTCCTTACACATATAAACACACATTGGTCCTTACGACAAAAACAGAAATAATTTTTTTTCTCGAAAACTATTAGAGATAAACCTATCGAACTTTCTATCATTAAAATCAGCAAAAACAGAGCTATCCAATGAGCTATTAATATATAGGGTGCTTCATTTGAAAATATCGGAATTTGGTCAATATCTCGGAATCGGAGCGATATAGAAAAAAACCGAGTCCGCCACTGGATTGTGCTCGAAAAAATATCTCCATAATGTTTTTACAGAAATACAAAAAATTGATAAATAAAAAACTTATAGCCATTTTTCATAATAGGGGAAAATCGAAAATCGCCCTGTATTAATGGTACCATTGAAGATATCGCGATACGGTTTTTGACAATCGACGTTTCTCGAAAATCGATCCCATGACATCTTTGTCAATTTTCCTCTATCTGGTCGGGAAGTGTGTTTTTCCTGTTAAAACACTCCAAATTGCAGCACCCTGTACTAGTGTACACATTTATAGGCTCAAAATTCAATTAGTACTATTAGGGGTTTTCTTAGAATAAATCTGATAGGAAATTCTTATTTAGAATAGTCTAAATCCCAAATATATTAATTTTTGTTCCAATACAATACAGGGTGATCACAATAAATTTTAAAAATTTAATGGACCAAACCGCAAAAATGTCATATTTCGAGGCCTTGAGAACGACAAAACTTGATATAACAGTTTTACAACATCTCTAACCAAACTTGTAGTAAGCTGGTCTCAAAATATGACATTTTTGCAGTTTAATTCATTTAGATTTGAAAATTTGTTTTGATCACCCTGTATCGTATTGGAACAAAAATTTGTTTATTTGGGTTTTAGACCATTCTAAACAAGAATTTGCTATCAGATTTTTTGTAGAAAAATCCCTAATACCTACTTATTATTGAAATTTGAGCCTATAATGTGGACAACCGACAACCCGTACACCAGTACAGCCGCAGAAATAAAATTATAGCCTAATAGGTGCCAAATTCAAAAAAAAATAAAAATTGAATTGGTTAAAAGATGAAAATTTTGGAAGAATGGTCAGTTTTTAAGCGTGACACTGTATAAAAAATTTAAAAGGGGGGCAAGTTGGGGATAGTAGTGTATGCCTTATATCAAATTTGTCATGCCCTATCACAAATTTGACTCTAGCTACGGCCCTGGTTCGACTGGACGTCCAATTGGGAATTTTTAGATAGGATTTGATTGATCTATACCGAATTACTTTCATGATCATCATTAATTAAATTGATAATTATTCTATTTCAGCGTTTTATTTGTATAAATGAGAATCAAGGCAACTCCTAATCCATAATACAAGGCTTAATAAATGATCCAATACCTAGTGGTTAATATTTACAGTCAGTCAAAGTAATAACTTTTGGCATCCCTGGTGCGGTTTGACTAAAGCACAAAAAGGGGCAATAGCTAGTTCCGTCACACCTACCCTGCCGAATACCCTATGCACCAGAAATCCTGGCTTAACATCTCAACAATATTGGGAGACAAGAGTTGATCATAAGAAGTCCATATCAACCCATATAGCCAGATAATATTTTTTGAAGATTCAAAAAATATTTTTTTTTCGGATCAAATATATTTTTAAAACATCCAAATATCCATAAAACATATTTTTAGGACATTTTTCGAACATTCTGCGGTCTACGGTTTTTTGAATATCCATACGATATTTTTCAAATGTATTAAAAACATTTTCAGAAAGTATGAAAATGTTTTTTGAACATCATCATCGAAAAAAAAATAATGCGGATTCAGAAACGATGTATTAAAAATGTTTGTATCTGTATGATATTTTTGAGAATGTTTTAAAAACATTTTTAAAATATCCAAATATATTTTTAAAACGTCTATTGGATATTTTGTGGAACATTTTCAAAAAAAATATTAATAAAATATTTTCCACACATTGAAAAAACTATATTGGTTTTGTGAACATCAAAACGATATTTAAAATACATTATCAAAATATTTTAAAAACATCATTCCAACATTTAGGATGGTAATTTTTATGGGTAGGTAAGTACCTATTGGGTAATTAAAACTCAGAATTGAACTCAGAAATATTTTAATTTGTGCATATGCATCTGATTCAAGTTATTTGCCTCTCAATTAAGCAGTTCCTGACTGATGGTTATGGCTTATTGTCCTTCGAGCTGCGCCTGCTCTTTCACAGCTCCTTTCTTCTTCCTACAATAAGAACTAATTTGTATGACTATAAACAATCAATATCATTTTTATAGATACAGGGTGTTCCAACGAGGATTGATCAAAGGCTTCTTTTTTTCTTCTTTCTTTCTTTTTACTCCCTCTATTATTGAGAAAATCAATAATACCTATCTCATGTATTTTTTCCTGCAGAATTCAATTATTGTATCAAAAAATCTTTGAACCAAAAATATAGGACACGCCATGGATGATGGCTATCTTGGATTCTCACAAAAATACAGGCAGATTCAAAAATAGGCTCCTGGTTTTAAGTCCTCGTTGGAAAACCCTGATATAAATACCACTTACCGTGAACCTCAATCGAAATCGCAATTATTCTCAGAGCCAAATAACGTACACTCGCACACAAACCTCACAAAAAAATATATTGACTTCACTCTAGTCTAGTCTAGCTGAACCCGACCCAGACTGAAACTACGCCACGCCGGCGTCCAGTTCCCCTCAAAAAGTAGCATAAAACTACCAGTGTTGCCAGAACCGTTTTTATAATTGGAAGCTTTCATGGGTTTCCAAGGGTCGTATTTTCGAATTCATTCGCGAGTAGATTTCGTACACGAAAATTGATTGACAACAATGTAAATTAAATGGGAAGCATTCGAAATCTTATCAAATTTCGTATGCGAGAATATTCGAAAATAATACCCCAGGAGTGCGTTCACAGTCGAACGCCGGACGCTCACCGAGTGCACACCGAGCGCGTCTTTTGCAGGGTTAAGTTGTTCACGGATCTACCTAAATTCACCCGGTTAAAATATTTCCTCCGTTCACAGAGCCATGATAAGTTTACCCGGTTGTACAACTTTTTAACCCGCTCTGAGACATGGGTAAAATTTGTCGCGCAGGCGTTTTACAAGAATATTTGAAATTTGATAAACAATACTGTTGGTAATCTTTCTGGGCCATACATTGCTGACTTCAACTGGTTTTCAAGTTTTCCAGGAAGCCAGTTGAATTCTTCTCTGGAAACTCCAAAATTTTCCTGAAACTCCTTATCGCTATAATTGCGTATTGTTGTCATAAAATTATCCTGTCTTTCAATATGCCTTTTTTCAGGCTTGAACTTAAACTGCTAGCGCTAGCACATGCAGCTTGTGATACAGCATAGCTCACTTCTTCCTCTGTATCAGAAGAATCCGAAGAAGTTTCAAGTACTTTTAAAAAATATTATTCCCGGGTCCATCTCAAAACATTCGAAACACAACGTATGTAAACAAAAGGAAAACAAAATCAAATCCTACCTCGTTATGGCGCAGGCGTTAGTCGTTCACGGATTTGTCATCCCAAGCGCCTCCTTTTCAACCAGTGAAATATTTAACCTGGTTAAGTTTTACCCAGGGTAAACCACTGTGAACGCGCCCCAGGTATGGCCATTTTTACTTTACCGTTACAATGGTTACTAAAATAGGTGACAACACTGCGAATTAATTCAACCGGTAGCAGAGCAGGTAGATATCTATGGCGCCTTAGAGCAGGTAAAGGTAAAGGAGTAGTAACCTGGATTTGGAAAATGAAGCCGTTTTTTTCCAGGTATTTTGGCCCACAAAAAATGGCGGTTATGGCAATTCAATGCTCTACCTGTATTTTAATGCCAAACACCTGCCAAAAACTTAGCTTCACTTTAGTTTCATAAGCAGAATGGCGCGTTCCTACTCCTTATGTCCGTAGGACAGCGCTTTACCTGCTCTAAGTATGGCGCCTAGAAACAAGGACAAAAGTTAAATCAAATGAAAAGCTTTGTTTTGGTTCGAAAAAAGGATGGTTCTAGAACAGTCCAAAACAATCGCACAATTTGTCATTCCAAAAGTTAACTTTTAGTTGGTCTTTTAAAATAGTTTTATAATACCCGCCCTAAGTCTCGAGCCAGACTTTAGAGACCGAATGTTTTAAAAATGTTCAGCAAATGTTTGGGAAAAAATATTTCTTTTATTATGTTTTTCTGATGTTCAAAAAATATCCATTTAAAAATATTATTTTGTAATATGTTTGTAAAACTAATGTATTTTTTGAGTACATTTTAAAAACATTTTTTGAACATTTTCAAACCAATGTGTGGTCACAAATGTTGTTTGAATCTTTTAAAAATATTTTATTAGCGTTGTTCAAAAAATATCCATTGTTGGATCAAAAAAAAATATCCCAAAAATATTTTGTGCTATAACGATGTGATCAACATGCCTAACATGTGGATCGCCAACCTTTGTGAGGAGAGGGCCTCGTGAGAAGAAAAAGAGTTCCAGCAAGTAATTTTTATCATAGTAAAAATAAATAGGTAAGTAATTAAAACAATTTTTGTATATTTTTTTTTATTTTACAAATATTGCGAAGGCACAAATCTCAAAAAATAACAATTTAACAATTAATCATTCGGTAATCATTATTATTGATTTAAGTTTAAATAACAAAAGAAAAAAAAATTGAACCCATGCATAGGTACAACACAAAAAAACAAAAACCTTAAAATATAACAAAATTATATTAATAAATTTAATAATAAAGAGCGATTTTTATTACTGGGACTTGCACACTCTATTTCATTTAAGTAATTGCTTTCCTCTAATAAGAAACAGGCCTTTATTTTTGGATAATTTAAGCTTAATTACGATATTCTGATATTGTTTCCAATATTGATCTAAGATTAAAAATTTTGCTAAAGTTTTTTCCAACAGAATCATAAACAACTCCTATCAGCTTTGCACCGATTCTTTGTTGAAATAAACATCTAATCGTATCTAAATATTTCATTATACAGAGTGCTATAAATTAAATAGCTTCATTTTCATTCTATCACTCATTAAATGCTTAAAGAATGCATTTAAGTAAAATTAAAATGTTCCAAAGCGCTTATTGAGTGAAAATCTATGTAAGCAACTTTAAAAAAAAAATCATGCCTAGTCTAGTTTTTCAAAAATTTGCTACAAATAAAAAGTTCTAAAAATTTTACTTTTCGAGCAATTTTTTAGAATAACGATAATGAGCATACTTTTATATTATATGGCCGTTTCTAAATTCAAATTACCCTACATTTCAAAAACCAATCAATCAATAATCATAAGGAATAAAATAGTTAAAACTAAAAAACAGTTTAACAAAAAATTCGAATTAATATTTTACAAAATTTGATCTGTATTTTTTGGCGCTGACACGACATGCAATTAAAACGTTTGCACAATAATGGCATTAAAATGTTTGAATAAGTAAATTATAATTTATTTTTCTTAGAGGAAATTTTTCTTGAATTATTTAAGGAAAACTTCAAGAAATCTTCAGGTAAAATAAAACTGTCACTTGTCACTTTAAGAAAAACAATTACAATTTCTTCACATAAGTGACAACAGTTATAATAAATTAACGATTTCAAGGAAAGTACATCAGAGATGCTTGCTTTCAATGAAATATTTCATCAATGGATTTTATTTTTCTTATTAAAATCTTCCTACTAAAAACAATGATAATATTAAAAAAATTGCGATAGATATTTTAGAATGTTTTTGTACTTGCCCATTTGGATGTTTTTCTTATTTATTTTTTTATTACAACAATGTAATGAGCTACATGTTTAAAAAAAAATTAAATAGGTACACGCAATGAAAAGCTTGATTCACAATTACATTGTAACCGTTTAGTTTCAATTAATGTGAATCTAGCTTTAAATATGAATAATTAAATGTATGGCATTTATAAATGTTTATTTGGAGAAGCAATCTTCTGTTCTCTAATTTATTTTCTAGTTCAGCTCAAAACATAAATTAAAACTTTTCTGCCATCCCATCTGATTGCTTCTCTTTTTGTTATTGCTTTGTATAATCATGTAGTGCTTCCAAGTTAACTATTATACTAGCACCATTTTACATTTGCAGGTATTCTTTATATTTTATTATTTGTAATTTGTTAAAAATTTTAGCATATATTGGCTATATTAGGTCTGTTCCAATCGAGCATTGATTCAGTACATCGTTGCGCAAAAATATCACCATTCTTGAAGGTTTTTGGCCAGATCATAACAGACCTTATAAGGAAATATATATCAACAAACCTTAAAATATTCCTATTTATTGCAATAGTCTTTATACATTATTTTTGATGTGTATTTTTGCTTTATATTACTTAAAGTAAAAATGCTTATTATTTCATTACATGTTTCTCTAACATAGTGAAACTCATTTTTTTAACAAAAATTATTTATCAACATTTTATATAGGTACTTTACTGGCTGAAGTGTATAAAATTAAATTCTCGTATAATACACAAGACGAGGTTGGCAACAGCAGGTATCTAATCACACTGACCGTAGACGAGGTCTCTCTATATGGGATACATTTTTTTTTTTAAATCAACGTGTTATAAGTATATGGGGTGGTGAATAAAGCCGCATCTACATAAAAACTTTAACAAGAAAAATATACATTAATAATTATTAACAATATTTACTGTAAGCTGCAACAAACAGCGCGGTTTGGTAAGAAATGCTCTGGCCGAGGTTGGCCATTTTCCTTTTGAAGACTCAAAAATGCCTCGTTTTTGCCATACTTGCTTTCATAAACCGCAATTTCTTCATCATCTTCCCCTCCATCGGTTTTTATAGAATCAGTCCTACATTTATCACAACTTTTAACATTAGCGCAAATTTTATCAATGTCTTTAGCATATAAACCATCACAGTCTTTGAGTGGCGATGTTATTTCATTTTCCCAATATTCCAAAAGATCATTATCGGTCGAGGAACAAGAAGAAAATAACGTGAGTTCATCTTCATCATCATCTAAATTCAACATTAACAATTCCTTCTGAATAATGGAAGGACTTTTAAGAATCTCTATCTCGGGGGTTGCTTCACGAGTTTTGCTCATCCACTCCTTCACAGCCTGCGTGATCGGATAGAGTTTCTCATCGTCCGTTGTTGTGTTGGTGGAGTTGTCTACAACAAGTCCACGGCTCGGATCGGCAGCGTCTACAGTAGAAGAACATGCTTTATTATTATCTCTATCAACGTCTACCTTAATATCTCGTTCTACACTTACCATGTTCGGTTTCAGAAACTGCCTCGTGCTTTGGAATATTCTGTTAAAGTCTGGAGTCTTTGTAGATGAGCCTGATGCTGCTACAGATTTGTCTTTGCTTGTTCCTGCCAGTGTGGAGCCAATTGTCTTAAAGAAAGCGTCTGCTTCAGGTTCCACGTTTAGGGTTTTGATGTTTTCCTGGAAGGAATTGTACATGCCTTTTTGAATTAACTTGTCCAGTTCCAATGATATTTCCTCCACATTTTCACCTGAGGCGATAGTGTTTTCTAGAAGAACTTCATAAGAATCATCTGTTGGTAATGATTTCGTAGAATCATTATTATTTTCATTGTTATAGGTTTTGTTAGATTTAGTTTTCTTCTTTTTCTTTGATTTCTTTTCAGCAACGTCAATTTCGGCAGTTGATTCTTCGACTGGTTCCTCAATAACCTTTACTGGTGCAGCAGTAGAGACCATTGGTTTCAGATCCTCAACAGTAACCACTTTCTTTTCAACAGGAATCTTAGGTTCATCGTTAAAAATATCAGTGATAATAACTTTCTTCAATAAAGGCTTTTGAGTTCCTTTCTTGGATCTTTTCTTTGACTTAAAAACTTCTTCAACACTGGCAACTGGAGTAGACTCTTTCACAGCAACCTTTTCTTCATCCTTATTTTTTTGTTCAACAACCTCAACTTTAAGCTGCTCCTCGATTATAATTTTTTCAATATCACTTACTTCAGGTATACAAATCTCGGTTGTAGTTGATACTTCTTGAGCTTCATTCTGTGCAATGCTCGTTAAAATACTCTCAATTTTTTTAACTTGCGATTCCTCTTGTGGTTCAAAGTTGGATGGAGGGACTACATCGACAAGTTGATTAACATCATAAGACTCAAATAAATCAGATTCAGCTGATTCATTTATAGGGTCCTCGACATCGAAATCTTCTTCGACATTTTTGTTCTTCTTTTTTTTTCGGTTAGAGACTGATATCCATTGACTGTTGTTTGGATTAGCTTTTGGTGCTTCTTTGATAGACTTTGCAGGTGATCTGCCAATTTCAGGCTTTGCCTCAGAAGCAACAGGATTCTTTTCAGAAGAAATTTTCCCATTAACAAGAGGTTTTTGATAATTTGGTTGAATTTTTTTATAATTAGCCCCAGTGTTGTTTTGATAAGGTTTCCAACTTTTCTTTTGCTGGAACCTCTCAGGACTATTTGTTACTTGCCTAGAATATTCTGGTGTAGCAGATCTGGTTCCATTTAGCAATGGAAAACCATTTTTAGCTTCATTACGATGATAATTAACTCGTATTTGAGCTTCATTTAGAGTCTTTTTAAAGTGATATGGACTGTTTTGGAGGCTCTGGCTACCAGAACCTTCATTATTATGGTGAGTTTGTGGTGTAGCTTCTCCACTTTTTACTGGAGAATCTCTATATTTAGCATAAAAGTTTCGTTTAAAGTTGTGATGAGGTTTAGTAGGTCTTGTTTTATTAATCACAATAGTTTCTTCTGAACTTACAATAGTTTCTTGTTGCTTGACGGCTTCCAATTTCGAAACGACAGTGGCAATATCAATAGTTTTCGTATGAATTTGTGATTTAATTTCCTCAACGACCGGCGTATGAGAAGGTGTGGCAGTGTTTGCTCTATTTTTATCGTCACAAACAACTTTATCATCGTGCGTATTAATAATTTCTTCGATTTTCGTCTCTGCTGTTGTTGGTACAACAGGAGGTGGGTAACTGACAAAACTTTGTGGAACGGGGGGAGGATACATTTTTTGACTCAAATGATGAGGAATGAAGTTAACAGGGAAACCGGGTGGGATAAATGCTGGATGAGGAGCAAAGTTCTGTGTTCCAAATTCGCCTATAGGTACTAGAGGGATGGGCATGAAATTGGGTGGTAACATTTTGACGGGATGGTAAGCGCGTGGTATGAATTCTTCGGCATCTGGTTTAAGGATTGAAGATTTCGGTTGAGCCTGGTTAGTTTTGGTAACAATTTTTTCAGTCTTTTCATCGGCACAACCGTGTGAGTTTGATTGATCATTAGTATCATAAGTCTTTAAAGATTTTTCATCTTTTTCAGTTGGTGATGGGGCTTCCACCCTAGAAGCGGCCTCCTGTTGATGTTCAGCTATGCTGACACGGTTAAGAGGAACGTTTTCATCATCCGAATTTTCATCGGTGAATTCAGACGAATCACCTGGGATTGTTTTAGATGATTTCCGTTCGCGTCGCTTCTTTAGTTTTTTCACCGGTTCCGGAGGATAATGATGATGATGCTGGCCGTTCGTCAAATCTGAAAATAAAAACATTTATAGAAAATCTATTTTAAATTAGACGCTGGTTGTCTATGTATTCTGCTAGGTACAAAGGTGAGAATTATCTAATAATAGTGATTTAAAGGTGTCACTAATTTGTTTTCTTTACTGGCGATTAGTGCTTGGGCGATCACGTGACTAGCAATTTGAGAAATTCTTGGCCCAGTGTCAATGTATACTTTTATAAAGTTTTCCAGGCGGCCTGAGTACGTTACCCTTTAGAGAGAATGGGGTCGATTTGATGGAAATTAGAAGCTTAATTACTGTTACATATATTTATGAATTACGATTGGATATATCCATTATTGAGTTATCGATCCAAATCGATTGCTTCTTTTTTTAATAATTGAGATGGGATCCAACCTGAGAAAAAAGTGCATGAAACTTATTTGCGACAATAAATTTTACCGTGGAACTGGTAAAGGGAATGAGAGGGTTTTCTATTTATTTCATAATCTATAAAAATGTTTAAAAAGAACATTTATTGACAAGGACAAGAGATAAGTAGTTTCTGCTGATGTCTCCTCATTTTGCCCTTTGTATTATATATTGCTTCTACTTGTAATCCATTCTTTTCTTCACTGAGAAGGTTATTTTAATTCTAATTAAATTTTATTGTCGTTAATCTACCTTGGAAAAAACAAACTGGCTGGGTAGATAATAGCTATAAGAGAATGTTGAACAATTAATTCTTTTGTGAGAATGAATAGATTAAAAAATAATGTCGGAAATTGAAAGCGATAATATTTTTTTATGTGCGATCTATGGATTTGAGAACTGCTAACAACAAAGACTTCTTCCAAACGCGAGAAAAATAGCCAGTCTTAATTAAAACTTAGTATTTTGCTCTTCTGCTCTAGCCATCTTTGGATACAGGCCATTAGCGCCAACTAGCCCTATTTTGAGCCACTTTTCTCCTCGATCTTATTCAAGTCATTATCTTTTTGTCGTAGAGTCCTATGCTTTGTTTTGTTCTCTTCCTGTTAATGTGAAATTTTCATAGATGTTATGAATAAGATTTTTTTATCCTGAGTCAATTCAGAAACTTCAATTTGAATGAGAAAATTTATATTCAAGTATATTATTTGAAAGCATTCTTTTTTTTTTGGGTGGAGACCATTAGAAGACAGTACTTTATGTCATGGCTAAGGGCCTGCAAAACAGGCCTGTAGCTGTCTGATTTAGGTGATAAGCAATTGATGATTGGATACTTATCATGAATACCTTGTATATTTCTATATAACGAGGTGGGAAGGCTTAGTTTCTGATGTCAGCCCTATCAACTTTTCTTAAAGTGCAGAGCTACGACGCTATTATTCTATTTCTCTGGTTTTTCCGCACTCTTTGGGAAAACTTTTCAATATAGGTTGAAAAGTCTTCAGTGTTGATGGTCTCTTTTCCTTATTTCAGCATCTCATCTGTCACTCCATGTTCTCCTGCTGATTTGTTGTCTTTCAGATCGTTATCTGCCTTCGTGGTCTCAAATTCTTCAATTATCAGGCATCTTCAAAACTGGACCAAAACTAGCATGATGAAGGGCAGCAGCGATCATCATTACAAACTCCTACCAATAAGGAAATGATCCTGAAATTCTGCAGGCGATGCTGAAATAGCTAGAGGGCTGTGGTACTGCGATGCGGAAAGCAAATGGGAAACTACCGCATTATTCTCGCCAGGACGTCCTTTTGTCCAAAATAATTTATCATGTCAGGAAACAAAAACAGTTTGGCCGGGCAGATGTTGGGATCATCAGAGGGTGCTAATAAGAATCCCCCGGCTTGACATGACAAAGGTTAATAAATAACTGAATAGGTACATGGAACGTGAGATCTCTTTTTGGTATTGGCAAACTTGATAATGCCATAAAGGAAATGCAACGACTCAATATCGACATTCTCGGAATTGGCGAAAGTAGATGGCCCAATAGTGGAATGTGTGATTAGCAGGGAATAAGTTTCTACTACTCTGGAAATCCAGACCAAACCCACTTAAACGGAGTAGGATTTCTAATAACTGAAAAAATGAAGAAATCTGTACGAAATTTTGTTGCTATTCAGACAGAATCATCCTCTTACAGGTACATGCGAAACCCACTAATACATTTAATCTTGTTCAGGTATACGCCACAACAGCAGATAAGCCAGAGGCAGAAATAGAAACATTTTACGAACAAGTTCATGAAGTTTCAGGCTTGCTAAAGTCTGAAGAAATAACCATCGTGATGGGTGACTTCAATGCAAAAGTGGGAAAAGAAAGAGTGGATGGTGTGACGGGTGATTTTGGTCTTGGCAAGAAAAACGAACGAGGTAATCTGCTAATTCAGTTCTGTAAAGAGGAAAAATTGGTTATTAAAAATACCTACTATAAACAACCTCCTAGATGGTTATATACAGGGTGGGGACTTTAACTGGAACTAATTCGCTAGAGCCTTCGCATAAAATATGTGAACAAAACGCAAAAACACGTCGATCAAGATTTTTTTTTTGAAATTTTTCCATATCAATTTTTTTCTACAGGGTGTTCCAAGAACAGCTGTACGGTTATCAACTTTATTTTTCCAAATGGTAGCCCCTGTATATTATGACATTTCTGGATTCTGCTGAAAATTCCATACATATTTCATGTACAATGTTATATACCTATCTTCAACTGTTTCGGAAATATTGACAGTTGAAAATTGACTTTTTTGCAAACTTGACAGGTTGTAAAACCTAAACGGTTAATTTTAGAGGAAAACCAGTTTAACATTCCTATCTTAGATTTTCATAAACTATCATTTGACACTAACTTTGAATTTAACTGGAGATTGAATTTAACTGGAATTTTTAATCATGGATTAAATTCAAAGTTGGTGTCAAATGATAGCTTATGAAAATCTAAGATGGGAATGTGAAATCGATTTTCCTCTAAAATTAACCGTTAAGGTTTTACAGCCTGTCAAAGTTGCAAAAAAGTCCATTTTCAACTGTCAATATTTCCGAAACAGTTGAAGATAGGTATATGACATTGTGAATGAAATATGTCTAGAATTTTCTGCAGAATCCAGAAATGTCATAATATACAGGGGCTACCATTTGGAAAAATAAAGTTGACAATCGTACAGCTGTTCTTGGAACACCCTGTATAAAAAAATTATTGTGAAAAAAACTCAAGCAAAAAATCTTGATCGACGTGTTTTTGCGTTTTGTCCACATATTTTATTCGAAGGCTCTAGCGAATTAGTTCCAGTTAAAGTCCCCACCCTGTATATGGCGATCCCCACAAGACAATCACGACCACATAGTCAGAAATCAGAGCGACTATATTCTGATAAACCACAGATACCAGAATAGTATCACGCGTGTGGCCGCATATCCGGGAGCTGATATTGAATCTGACCAGAACGCTATAATAGCCAATTTTAAACTCAACCCTAAAATAACAAGGCAAAGAAACGCCCTTCGAAAATACGATGTTCAGAAGCTTAACAAGACAGAAAATAAGGAGGACATGAGACTGGAATTGAACCGACTTTGCAATGCCAATCACCCAACAAGCAAAGACAACCCTGAAGACATTTGGCACAATGTTAAATAAAACCTTCAAGATGCCTGTGAGACAGTCTTAGGCCAGCAGCAACGCGTCAAGATTAGACCGTGGATGACGGATGAAATTCTTGATATAATGGGAGAACGGCGACGTGCAAAACTATCTCAAGAATCTGAAAGGTATACTGAACTAGATCGGAAAATAAAACGAAAAGCTAAAGAAGCCAGAGAACAATGGATCATTGCAGAATGTGAGGAGGCTGAGAGACTCCATGAGCTACATGACTCAGTCAACTTTCATCGAAAGATAAAGCAAATAACTGGGTCTATCAAAGGATTATCAATTCCATCTCTTAGAAATGAAAATGGAGAACTCATCCTTAATCCAGAATCCAGATGACCTGCGCAATGAATGGAAACAGTACGCGGAAACGCTTTTTCATGATCAGCGCCACTTGCAAGACCTCTTCAGCTCAACAGAACAACTAATTGAGCCAGACATACTGGAGAATGAAGTTCAACGAGCTATCAGGAACATGAAAAATCGAAAAAGCCCTGGTCATGACAATGTACATGCTGAGGTTCTGAAGACGCTAGATACAAAAATCCTGACATATCTATGCAACAAAATCTATGAGACAGGTAAAATTTCATCAGATTGGCTCAAGTCTACCTTTGTACCGCTTTTTCATGATCAGCGCCACTTGCAAGACCTCTTCAGCTCAACAGAACAACTAATTGAGCCAGACATACTGGAGAATGAAGTTCAACGAGCTATCAGGAACATGAAAAATCGAAAAAGCCCTGGTCATGACAATGTACATGCTGAGGTTCTGAAGACGCTAGATACAAAAATCCTGACATATCTATGCAACAAAATCTATGAGACAGGTAAAATTTCATCAGATTGGCTCAAGTCTACCTTTGTACCCATCCCTAAAAAAAAGTGCCCCTGTGGCGACTACAGGCTGATAAGTCTAATAATAAGTCACGCTCTTAAGGTTTAAAGTCAACCCTTATTTTCTGAACCTTGTGTTCAAAAATTCCAAAAAAAATATATTTTTTATGGTTATCGATATACTTTAATCCATAATTTTTTCAAGCCATTTTTGAGTTATATCGCAAAAACTGAAAAAAAAAGTAGCTTTTCACCATTTATTTCGAAACGAATAGATGAAGTTTCCCATTATTTTTATTACGAACTACTATTACAATTCTACGCAACATATATTTTTTTCAAATTTTTTGAACTTGTAGTTTTCTCGCTACTGCAAAAATAGTTGGAAATACGCCTGTAGCTACACTGTTTAGAAAAAAATCCGACGGATGAACGTTCAACATTCTTTGTGTTGGTCGAAACTACAACCCTGTTTATGTAAAACAGAATAATACTTCAAATTTCCGCCAAAAAAAGAAAAAACGTCCCATCACACAATTTAACCAAATGAAGA